TGTCTGAAAGACAGGGGAACCAAACCAGAAGCGTATGTCAATAAAGGTGGCTGAGCAGGCAGGACTGAGACTTCTGCCCAGATTGATTCACATTGCCTGAGCAGTGACCAGGGCAAACAGAGAAGGATGTGAGGAGGGGAAAGATAAAGCCAATGTGGTGGCCAGCAGCTGTGGGGTTGCATTTCAGACACCCACCCAACCCAATATCCCTCTGCAGCCCAGCAGTTCCACACTGACTGCTGTGGAGACGATAGGTGGTAACAGCTCCTGGTGAACATGACTAATCCCAACAGCATCTGAACCAATAACCCCGAGGTGAACAACTTCACAGCTTCTTAACATTTTCTCAGACTGCCTAGCTTGGTAGTTTAGTTCCCAGACCCCCACCCCCCTCCAAGCCTATAAATAGATCTCTGTTTTTGAAAATTTGCTTGTTTTGCACAAGATATCTTGTCTTAAATACAATTTATAGTTTATCACAAGGAACAACTGTCCTATTATACTGGCATGTATATTTCCTTAGGTAATTAATGCACATGTCAATTTTGATGAGAGATATGTGGTGTGGTTACAGGACATATCTTAATGTAATTAACTGTATTGGGTTCCAGAAATCACAAATATAGAATTTCAGTACTAACACATCTGTAAACTGCATAGTTTTCTAAAAAAGAACATGTTGCTTATTTTATCTTGCTATTATTTGACTAAAAATGACAATAGAAACATAAGTATTTACTAAAATAGGCTGAAATCCCAGTTCCAACCAGGAGCATTTACAAATATGAACTGACTGGTGAGGCCAAGAATTGTCTATTCTAAAAGCAACCCTGCAATTGTGCAAGAAAACCCTAATTATCATTGGAGAGAGGAGCTGTCTCAGAATAAGCAGAAGTTTTGTTTTCTTGTTTAGCATCTTTATTTCATGGTTCAAATTGGCACAAGAGCCAGGCAGCTCAAGAGAGTTAGGAGACCGTGGTCACAAGAGGGCTTTAATTTATTGATGGTTCTTGCCCTACTGTACAGTCGCTGCTGCTATTTGAGTGTAATGGATGAAACAGATGTTTGACACTGCAGCACCTCTTCATAACTTCACTCTTCAAAAACAGTTTTACAAGTGCTCGCTCGCGTTGGTTCCCATTCAGCACAGGAAACTGAGGTCATGGTGAAACATGAGGCCCGGGCAGGAGCCTGAACTCATGTGCACTGCAGCTGGGCCCGCGTCTTCCGAGCACGTTAGCAATTTATGAAGCAGTCATAATTTTCAACTTACGGACAAAGAAATAAAAGTGTTGACACCCGTATTGTAACATCTGTGAAGGGAAAAATATGAGCCCGCTGCTAAATGTAAGAAGGATTCAAGAATTATGGAGGGTTTCTTTTAGGGTTAATTTTATTCATTATCAGACGTGATTATTTTTAATAGGAAAAAAAAATCAGGTTTCAGTATCAGTGCTGAAAAGTTACTTTCTGGATTATAGTTTTCTTAGTATTGCTCAGAAACAGTAATTTAAAAAAGCAAGAGACTTTTCTGATATTCTGAGCTTTTTTATTTCCAGATGATTATTTTAACATATGCTCATCTCTGAATATGTCAAAAAATCTTCCCATGCATGCAATGTAGGTAATTTTGTAACTTGTTTTAATAAAGATAACATAAGATTTGTGCAGTTGAATATCTAGGTTACCTTCTGCTGCCTTCCCTGGGAAAGCAATTAAGGCATTTTGGTACTGATATTTGGTACCCGATTTGGAAAACGATAGCAGTGCACCAGCCTGAGGAAGCTGATATGTGACGGGTTCAAAACACCATATCAGGAGTTTTTCTCCCACCGTAACTTCAGCGCCTCTCCAGCGTGAGTGCCCTGACAGCCTCAGGGATTTCAGCACTTCCACAAGAACTAATACCTGCCTGCAGCACCAGCATGTGTGAGGAGCTTCCTGTGCATTGACTCTCTGTCTTGCACCTATCTTCACGTATAATTGCACTTCTGACCTTGTTCTTAAGTCAGTCAGTCGTTGGGTGACTTAGTGGCATATTATGAAAGGAAACGTGTTTTTGTAGATACAGTCAATTACAAAGCACAAAATTATTGTTTAAGATGCTAAAATATTGTTGGCAGTATTATGAATAAAGGTTTCTAGAGTTAGCTGATACCAGAAGCTCCAAAATGCAGTTTGGTCAGAGCTGTTGCCACCAGGCAGGACACCTGGGCAGGGCAAGCACCACACAGCCAGCCCTGAAGTCTTCCAAATACAGATTGTCCTCGTAAAATCAGGATTTTGTTATACTGCTCTTCAGAAGCATCTGTAGGAAGATCCACAGAACAGGAATATTAATTTTCTTGTTCACAGCTGCTCACTCGTGCCATACACAGTAAAGCCCATTCATTAACTCCTTCAGACGGCTCTGAAAGCTGCTCTCAACTACAGCAGAAAGTGGCCCATTGCATGGAAATTCCTTACACTCTTCTAAATGCATATTTCTGTCTTTACCTCTCTATTTTCACAGAGATAACAGGCACTATTGAAAGCAACACATTTTTACAGTAAGATAACCTGGATATTTGCCGGGAAACCCCAGCTGCTGGCCAGCCTCCCCTCCCAGTAGCACCGAAGGCTGTTTGACATGGCCACAAAGGAGGGACAACCACCCACTGGGGCAGTGGGGTCTGACTGAAGGCTGTCCGTGTTAGTCTTTGCAAGAAACAGAGGAGAAAGCCACTAAAGGCAACCTCTGTCAGCTCCATGTGATCTGTCAGTTGGCACATCATCCGTCCTACAGTAGTTCAATGCAGTACCCGCAACGGCCCAGCTTTGCAAGCAGCCTGGTGGTATGCAAAAGCTTTTGCTCTACTCTTCAGCACTCATACAAGCTCTCTCCCTACCATGCCTCAAGATGTATTCCTGCTGGAAATGCAGCTCCTTCCACCATAAAACTCAACCCTGCAGCTGGAGCAACCCTGACCTCAACCAGTCTACATAAGGGGGGAAAAGTCACGCGTGTGGTTTAAGGCTTTGTTTTCTCAACCTTTAGCAGTGGTGTGGTTGTTCTGTGTCTAACCACAGCCCCCAGCTCTAAGGCAAGCTGTATGATGAAGACTAACATGAGGATTTTTCCTTTTGGTCTCCCTCATCCTTTTGGGTTGATAAAATGGACCCGATGTGCAACCCATCGCTGGTGTGGGGCCAACACCAAGTGGAAAGATTCCCTTCATGGCTGGGGCTCTTCTGTTAGACTCACGCTAATTTGCAGCGACAATGGCAGTTAACTTAAATGGTTAGCTGAAAACATATATGGAGAGCTCACAAGTTCACAGCATCCGAAGGACAAAGCCTACAAATCTTAGAATTTCACATCAGGCGACCCTACTTGTCTGGAGCTGGAAAATGCGTGATAGGAAAAAATTTCACAATTAAAGACAAGCCTACATAGTTTGGTTTGTTGATAGTCTTGCAAAAGCAAACAAAATAACTCCTTACCAAGCTTTGCTAGAAGCCCATGTTTTTTTCCTATGGGAAAATAAGATTGTTCCATAAAGCTGTGGGGAAAAATTGAGCTGACAGCCCAAGATTTAACTCACTTTTCTAATTCTGAAATGGCGACAAGTTTAACTATTCTGGCTTGGCTCAGATGACTTGGGTTGTGGGCTGTGTCTGCAGCAGATGTGAGTGTGCATGGTGGGACGCGTGAGCCTGGCTTGCAAGGGTGACCTCAGGGTCCTTCTTTCCCAGGCACGGGCAGAGCAAACACCACTACAAACAGCAACCACCCCAAAATGGCAGCATTTTGTCATTTTTCTGGCAAAACCTTGGAGTGGCTGATAAACCCATTTGGAAATGCACTCAGCTACACCTGTACCCAGGTAAATGACTACGGGAGGCAGATGACTTCTGTCCTCCAAGTTTTTTAACGAACATTGAAATATGCAGTCATGGACGACAGTTTTTAAAGAAAACAGCAACAACACTTTTCTGACTTCAAATTTTCTATTGGAGGAGTAAACTCCCCCTGAAAACGCTTGCTAAAGGGGCCATAAATGTGGGAACTGGAGCCTGAGACAGCTCCTGGAGGCTCTTGGTGAACGCGTCCACCATCAGCAAGGTCATGGACATGGCATGGGCAGGGTGAGGCACAAGGGAAGCCCATCTCCACAGAAGACCTTGGTTTACTTCTCTGTTAGTTACACCTTGCAGCCAGTATCCTCACTCCTCTCCCTCTCCACTCGCCAGCACTGGCCTGCACTTTGGGCACTTGCATCCTTTTTAGACATTTCTGATTAGATCCTGGAAATTCTTAGATTTAGTCGTGTCCTTGGACCCTGGGTTCTCACACCTTATGGGCACTTGTGACATTACATCGTGGTTTCAGTCAGCACAGATGTGAAATAAGACTTCTGTGCTCTTTGGAAAAGTTATTAGTCTTACAATTAGTAAAGTGAACAATGTCAGGCTCTGTGTAAAAGTTACAAGTGTGAAATCAAGTCCTGCCAGTAAATTGCTACCTTTTCTTTAGCATTGCAAGCCATGCTCTCCAGTTTATTTGAACACATAAAATATGCTAAATGTTTAGCAGCACCACTGTGTAGAGAAGAGTTGGATGAAGTATATATTTTTAAATACAGCAAGTAATAAAATGTTGAGTAAATTCCCAAGAATATCATTTTTGGGCAAGTACAATAGAATGCTTAATGGAATATATTCCCAGGTCTGCTGTTTTTATTCCTCTTTTCCTCCCGCTTTAATCTCCTCACCCAGTCAGTGGTTGTTGTTATGGGAGCTGCAAGGAAGGGCTTCATCCATAGACACTTCCCGTACCTTAGCAACGAGACAAGGGGTGCAAGGTGCTTGCAGCCCGTGGGCACACGGGTACACCTCATCCACACCGGTGCACCGGGCAGATACCTGAGCCAGCCAGCTTCTGGCCACGGGAGATAGCAGAGAGTCCCTGGGCAAGGAGTAGGGTGGTTTTTCGCAGAAGGACCACTGAAAGCAAGGAAAACTATAAAAAAAATAATAATAAAAAAAAATATAGGGAGGAAAAAGCAAACAAGCCGCCTTCACAAATTTGTTTTATCCAAATTTATTTCCTTTTCATTTAACTTGGTTGAGAAACGTCCCTGTGGACTTCATCAGAAAATCAATCTCTCAATTTTAAGTTCTAAATGAAATTCTAAGTAGCTAGCCATGATATGCAAAACCATGTGAGAAACCCAAAATCTCATCAAAAGAGTCTGCATGTTGCTCAGAGCCACTGCTCCAGGTGTAGGCAGCAGTGCTTCTTCCCAGAGCAGAGTTGTGGGGTTTAAGTCGGGTGACACTACCCAGATCCCATAGTTCTTTCTGCAACTGGGCTTTTGTACGCATAAAACCTCCACATTTAGGGTATTGCCCTTCACAGAAGAGCTTAATATTTCAAGAAGCTTTTTTAATCACTGGCTGCAAATCACCTTTTACCTCTTTGCCACACAGTTATGCGCCAGGTAGCACAGTGCGCACATATACCTATTGGTTAGCGGTTTTATACTGACGGCTTCCAGATAACTCTCGGTAGTTTATTTCAACATTAAAAACTGTCTTCTGTATGGTAGCTCAGAGATGGTGTTCCCAAATTGCTCTCAGTTCCTGCTGCCTTTTCGGAACATCCATTCTGGAAATGAGCATCTTTATTCTATGGGCTTCAAGCAGGATAAATATATATTTACTAATTCCAGGAGACATGTTCAAAAGAAAAACAATCAAATACATTTTGATTTTATAGTTCTCATATTTTATTTTTGTCTGTACTTTCTAGAATATTAATTTTTAGTTCTTGTAAAGTTTTACCAATTGCAATTTAGAGAGGCATTGGCATTAGCTTTTCTTTGAAGCATCAACCAAATGACATTATAAAAATTGCTCAACTTATCCTGTTTAGTTATCTTTACTTGTGTATATTTAAAAGAAAAAAAACAACAACAACAACAAAAAACACATATTTAAAATCAGTGGACAATATTGAGAATTATATCTTCTATATTGTATCTGAGTTATCTGTTGATACACTGCAGCACTAATAGTATAATAGATGTTCAAACTGCAAATATTTGGCACCAGGCAGGAAGCCTCTGGAGTGATGAAACAACATTCAGTGCAATTTGGTGGATTGGCCCACCTTGTAGTATGTTTGGGAGCTGAAATCTACCCACATATACATGTACATCTCCCATTAATTTTCATAGGCTGGAAAACTGCCCTTCTAGAGAGAAATCTCTGTATCTCTAATGAGGGGCCAATTCCCAAGTCCCACAGCATCTCCAAATTATATTTGGCAGAGATCTGTCTTTATGGGAGTTGCACTGATGGAGTTTTCTCTCCAAGCAGAACAGCACTGGCAATATGCAAGGGCTGCATTTCTCTTTTAATACATTTTCCTTTGAGGAGTGAAGACAGTTTTGGCCAACCTACCAACTACTCTGCCTGTGAGCAAAAAGTCCTGAGGTAACACTGCTTTTCTGTCTTCTGTAACCACCTTTTACATGCCTGCTGATATCAGAGAAAGTCAACAATTTAACATCCAAAACACAGAGAGGGAGAAAAACAAGGTGTGCTCCCTGTTCTGGTTTAGCTTGTGAATTAAAGGTAATCTGGCAATGAGGAGCTACCAGTTGGTAATGAATAACTGTATTTTTCTGTATCACATATACCTGTTTTGTCAGAAGAAATTTCTCAGGGAAAGAAGGTCAGTTCCAAATCATTTTAAGGGCTACTCTTTTGAAGAGTGAGCAGTTCAACTTGATGAGATCTGAAGTCTTTTGTGTGAGCAGCGTGGATGCTAACTGCCTTCACCTCTTCATCTCCACCAGAGCTTTAAAGTTATCCTGAGAAAAATGAGCCAGAGTGCTTAACCCCCTGCTAATGTCGCACCAAGGAAATTGGTGGCGTTAGACCCCAAATAACAATACAAATCTGTTCTCTACAATTCAGTAATAAACATATTTTTAAGGAAAAAATAAGAGGAACTCACACCTTGAAGAAATGACAGAGCTGTACCAAGTAGCACCGGTATGGACAGTTAATGGCAAGAATTTCAAGCAGCCTTTTGAGCAAGCAGGGAAAGCTCCAGGATGGGTCTGCCTGGCTTGAAACCATATCCATGCCATGAGAGCAAATTTCCTTGGTGAGCATTGGATCAGGGTCTTCAAGGACTTCTCCAACCACTCTGCTGTATATGAACACTTACAGGGCAATAGCACTGCTAGAAGAACAAAAGAAATGAATAAATAAATAAATAAGAACTCAGAATATATGCAGATCTACAGGCATTACAAGGACTTACTTTTTAGATGAATAAGGCCAAAGCGCAGCTGGAAATATCAGTAAGTTATTTGTTTTTACATTCACATTGACTTTAACTCTTAGCTTAGCTACAGGTAATTCTTAACAGCAAGCGTGAACAAAAATAACAAAAATAAAAATCTCCCCCCCTCCCCAAAGTAAAACAACTCAGAGTAATACACTTTTCTTCAATATATATTTTGTAACAATCCTCTGTGTTCAGAGTCTGTGTTATTCAATCTGCACACAGAAGTACTTATCTTTCAATATTTATTCAACAGGATACACAAAAATTGAAGATAATTTGGGAATACTCTCTTTATAGTAACTAAAAACATTGATTTTAAATTCCAAATCTTTTGAGACCATTTCTTGAGTTTCCAGTGAAAAAGCTTTCTATACATACATAGAAATAAAATCATTAAAATATTAATATAACCTATACAATCAAATAGAAGACCTCTTGGAGACTGGGTCAAACCCCAACCATATAAAAGAGCCTTTCATACAAAAAACTCCCAGAGATTCTCATAATTTTCCTTTTCAAATGTCAGTACAGTCTTTTGGTTTGTTTCAGTCAAATCTAGAGCAATTCTATGTAATGAAAGGAAAGAATGAACATAAACATGCTTCAATATGACTTCAGGATTCTTGATTCCTGTTTCCTTAATAAGAATATTTTTCCTTATGGCATGGGTTTGCACTCTCAAAGACCTCACTATGAAATAATGAGGAGCTGGGGAGAGAGCAGGGGAATAAGTGTGGTTACCCTAGAAAATTCACTTAAAGAGACACAAAAAGATGTATCCATCTATTTAATGCCACTAGCCCAATACCCAAATATCTTACCCAGCCTGAATAAATAAATAAATAAATAAATAAATAAGAAAGAAAGAAACAAAAAAGAGAGAACCACTGCCATATGTGATAACCTGAGGGTCTCCTTTCACACCCCTGGTTATTCATAAGCCCCAGGGCATTTCAAAAGCACAGGCTGCCTAAGGTATGGGAAGCTGTTGTGTTCATCAAACCAGGGCAGTGATGCAGCTCTGTGTACTTTTAACACACACCTACACAACACACAAGTTTAGTGATGATGGTGACACCAGTGGCCACGAGGAGCTGGGCATTTGCCTTACGAGAGACTGGAAATACCCGTGGCTGGACACCAGGAGCTGACGACTGGCCCCATCCCGAGCCCAGCCTCCTGCTGTGTTTCCCCTGGAGGGACAGAGCTGATGCTCAGGTGGGAGCGTTCCTGCTTACTTGTCGTGCCTCGACTCCACGGTAAGTTATGTGACTCTGTGGCATGCTTCACGTGTAGCTGAAAAACCTCAGGGTCTCTCCTTACACAGTGTTTTGTTTGGATTTGACCCATTCTCCAATTTTATGATAAAACAAGAACATAATTCACATATTAGCATTTCAAAACCTGTACAGCTGCAGAATGAGTAAACAGTGGAGTGAGTAATCATTAGTAATCTGCACTAGAGAAAAAGTGGAAAAAAAAAGCTCATAATTTTCTGGTGTGCTAAACCAAAAAAAATGTTTTGCACTTCTTAAAACATCTCAAATTCTCTTTTTTATCTGAGCTTTAGAGGTGACAGAGAAAAATCTATCTTTTAGCTGAACTAATCTCAAATAAATTAATATCCTTTTTCATATAAATTTGTTTGGGGAAACTTGAAACTGTAGCATAACCTATTGATTACATTATTTGAATTAAGTTTTAGAAATCCTACAGCTGTTTGCTGTCAAAATTTAAACCTACTGTCTATTTTCAGCTGTGCACTTAATACACATTTCACCTGGTGACTCAATAACATTTTAATATAAAAGTACATGATCACGGAACATATGTTCAGTGTTCATACAAAGCTTAATAGCAACAGAAGGGGTAACAATTAACAGTTCTGTTTTTCTGGGTATACGGGGTCCAAGTTTAAAGTTTTTCCTGGGCTGCTTCCAAAAAATCTTTGTTCCTAGTGCCTTGACCTTTGAGGAGTTTGGAATCAATGAGCCACGTTGCCTTCCATAAGGGTGTCAAGTGCAGAATAAAAAACTGCGTCACATCATTTTTCACCGCGGCCAGATGAGGTCTGAGTGCAGGAACAAGGAACAGGAAAGCAAGAACATCTGAAAAATTGACTCTGCAAGCTGGAATGTGATTCTGCAATAAGGGGCAACTCTCCTTTTTTTTTTTCTCTCTCTCTCTCTTTTTTTTTTTTTTTGCCAGAGTAGGCAGGTTGCAGACAGATCTGGGTCTCAGCCTCCCACCCCCAGGGCCCCCGTGTCAAGGAACAGTGATAGAGCGCCGTTCATTTATGCAACATCTGTAACACATATAGCAACGTATTAATAGCTCAATATGCCAATCTGCCACTGTGCATTTTGACCTAGCAGGGACCAGAAGCATGGAAGGTCTGTAAGGCAGATGTGGGAATGGCAGTGATGATGGAAATTAAAGGCAGACACGAAGAGTTCGTGCACAGAGCATTGCGGAGCAGTAGTTCTTCTGGAAGAGGCTAATGCTTCCAGCTCAGTTAGGAGGTTAATAGAGCTAATCTTCTGTATCACTATTATTTATAACATGTTGTTGGACTTAATGTTTATGAAGCTCAAGCTGTATAGTGCACATCCAATTATGTTTTCTTACAGCCATGGAGGGTTTTATGAAAAAGAATATTGAGTGAATGCTTTATTGCTTAAAAATATTGTATTGGTTAGAAGGGAAGTTAATCCAATAGGAGGTAAAAACAGCAACAAAGGCTACAGCAAATACGAGATGCTTTAAATTCATTGCATGACATTCTCACCCTAATTATTAGCCCACACTGGGAATAAAAACAGCACCCTCATCTTCAAGTTATTATTTTTTTTCCTTTCCTCATTTTTATTGCACATTTACATAAGACTTGTATGCCTTGTTCTTCTTCCAGGCTAGCAAGCTTATAAGGTTTCTATTAACCCTTTGCTTCTCTTTACACAGCAGCTCAGGATGTATAATTTACACCAGGGAAGGCAGGTGGCCATGGGAGAGGGAGCTGGGGGAGGTGGTCAAACCACATAGTGGGCACAGAGGTGGCTGAGCTTGAATGGGAACCCAGTGGTCAGATGATTATCGAGCCTCAGCCCCTGGAGTCCCCTGGGTCTGGAAAGCTGGAATGGAAAATCTTCCAGGAAAACAACTTTTTTTTTTTTCTTTTTCTTTTTTTTTCTTTTTCTTTTTTTTTTTTTCCCTGCTTCTAACTGGACCAGAGATACAATATTGCAAGAGCAAATCCTTCTCATGGTATGGAGGGCCTGCCCCACACCTGGCAACACAAATGCCCAGTGATGGTTGAGTAAGGGAAAAATTCTTTGAAAAATGCCCTGACTCTCATGAAAGACCATTGTTTTTATAGTTAGGAAGAGGAGAAAGAATGAAGTGGGGTTCTGTGGTTTGTACTTTGTACTTAATATAAGGAGAGTTAAAGAAAGTATTACTGCAGGAAAAAGAGGGAAGGAAGGAAGATTAGTCAGTTAATAAAGGAGATTTATGTTAGTGACGGTAGGTAGGCAAATTGCACTGCTAAATGGGGTATGGACTTCTTTTATGTGGACAAAAGAATTTATCAAATTTATCTAACTGAAACTGCACCGTAATCATATCTACAGAGCCTGGGCTGGAGAAGACACCCATGCCATGGAGAAATGGGTCTGGAAGCACCCATCCTGTCTGGAGATCCCTGGGGCAAGAGCAGGGGCAGGTGAGGAACATCACAGTCTTCTGCATATGTTTCCATCCAGCATTATTGCTGTGCAATGTGGATTAATGGACAGCATCTTACCTTGCATTTTTGATCAAGGTTTAGATTTTTCTATTTGTATTTATTTAAATTTGTATAATGAGTCAAAGTTGCACACAGGCTGCTGCAGCAACGAGTAGATTAGGAGGACTTCAAGGGCTGAGCAGGGCTGACTGAGAGAGCTACTCAGAAGCCTGAGGTGATCTTGGTTAATGATGAAAGTGTGAAAGTGGTCTTTGTTGTCATTGCCAGCCACAGACTGGACAAAAAGATGCAGCCACATGAATCATGGGCAGATAGCTGTTGTCTGACCTGTGTCCAAAAATCTTATGTTAGCATTTGTTCCCAGCATGCTGGAAGGCATCTGTATAGCCAGTGGCTGATGAATTTTCTTGGAAACTTTCATGATTTGAGCTTGGGTTATGAATGTTCTTGGCTGTATATGGATTTATGAAAGCACATGGATTGTTCTGCAGTTCTGTATGCCATTATTAAATTCAATGTTTCCAGCAGGAATTTAGCTCCTTGTGTTACAGATGATGAGACTTGATGAACTGTTATGAATATGCTATCTGCCTGAAGTCAAGAGGGCTGCTCCAGAGTGGCATCTACTGGGCAGAGCGTTCCCAGTCTAGGACAAGACCTACAAGAGGAGTCTCTTCCTCCACCAGCCACATCACTGCAGCATTTGAGACCTGACACAGGTGTAGCTACAGGATCAGGGTTTCAAACAAGAATCAGAGTAGAACAAAATATGGTTATTCCTCTATAGACAGAAATAAATAATACTGTGTGGCTGGTATTTCATTTATCATTTATGCACTTGAACCTATACTCACCTAAATCCTATACATATGTCCTTAAATGCCTGCAGAAATCTCAGATTTCTCCTCTTCAATTACAGGTACCATACGAAGCCTGTTTTCTATTAAAAAAAAAAGTATTCAGAAAAATGCATTCTTTCTCAATCCCTAAGCCATTTGACGCTTCAGAAAATCGTTAGAGAAGTTTGCTTTCCAAGACAGAAATATCTCCCTTTCAAAAACCTACCCTCTTTTCCAGCGTCTTCTGAGAAAATACCACAGGCAAATACAACAGCAGGAGTAAAAAGTGGCCAAGGGGCCAGCTGAGGCTCTGCTGCCTGCAGAAAGCAAAACTGGGGCCAAAAGTACTCAGACAAGGAGTGGCAAGGATCTGGGACAGCCACAGGCTGAACACCTCATTTTCTTGTTGAATCCTGTAAATACAGAAAAATTGTCTAAGGACTGGTAGTCACAGATGTGGATGTCTTCTTTCTAGATGTGAGAGAAAATTCAGTTCCTAATCTGCAGTTATGGCTGGGATCAGGGTTCAAAATGATAAGATATTTGCTGACATGGTTTGTGGTTGGAGTTAGGGACAGAGTTACATGACCTTATTGCTAGATCTGCTTGACCCTTTTGGTTCATTGCTTGCAACAGCAAGATGCATATTTGCATTTTGTCGGTGTGAAAGGCTTTGCGTTTGAAACAAATATATGAGAAATGGTCAAAGCTAATATGAAAGTTACAGGTGTGGAAGACCTGTAGGGTGTGAAACAAAAACAAATATATATTTAAAATAAAACAAACATAAATTTAAAAAAATTATCCTTGTACACCTTAAGAGCTGAAGTAGCATGAGATCCGGCTGATATTGAATCATTATTTGTGGGAAATAAGACAGAATGAGTGTAAGATTAAAGTTAATACTAAGCTTTTTTTTTTTTTTTTTTTAAAAAAAAAAAAGTAAAGCAGAGCTCACAGCATTACCGTGTATTTCCAGAATAGAAAAGTAAATTATAAGCTAGCACTGGAATGAATTTTAAAAGTTTATTTATCTGGGGGTAATCATGAAGGATCTGAAGGAAAGGAATAGCAAAAGACTTGGGGAAAAATAAAAGAACTAGGATATATATTTCTATTGTTATACATAACACAACTTGAGAAATAAAAATAAAATAAAATGTTGTTTGGATTATCAAACTCTTATTTTGGCTACTCTACCTAAGCTGGTATAGTTTGGGTCTGTTGGTAAGAACAGATTACAGTTTGGGTAAAGAATAATTAAAATCTATTTTATCTCTTGGTATTCTCAGGCACTGAAAGATGAAATGGATAATCTACAGAGAAAACTGATCTAGGAATAGCCCTAAAGCACTTGTTTAGTTAGAGGACAAATATGTCTGAAATTATTGAGCAAGGTATTATTAGGGCTAGCTGGAGTTACCCCATATTTCTCCCTATCATTTGTGGCATTCAGAAAAATGGGGCCTTATCGTCGTAAGAACTTAGACTTCACAGTGTTCTGAACTATCTCTGTTTTGATATATTTGATGAAACTAGCACTTCAGGGACAAGCTGTTGTACATTAGGATTATTCAAATATCCAGTATTTAGAATAATCTATTAGGGAAAACAGTGCCCAAATTAATGAAAAAACATTTAATGAAAGAAGAAAAATGTATTTGAAAGAGATTTTCTGTCATAAAATAAAATAAAATAAAATAAAATAAAATAAAATAAAATAAATAAAATAAAATAAAATATAAAATAAAATAAAATAAAATAAAATAAAATAAAATAAAATAAAATAAAATAAAATAAAATAAAATCAGAGAGAAAGCCAAAACCTCAGCCTCTGCTGTTTCATAACACTGCATGTGGGCAGCACACAGGAGAAAAGGTACCAGGCATTCAGGAGGTGCTGTGGGCTCCTTTCAGTCTGAAAAACTACCCACTTCTGTTTCCTGGAATGTCTCCACTTGTCCACAAGCAAGCACAACATGTAGCACTTTATTTTTTTCCTCTAACTCCTCCTAAATCAGACTCACTTCTATGACTTTCAGTTCTTTCACCCATCCTCTGTGTGGACCCTCTTAGTAGGGCAGCAAAACAAAAGAGGATTCAGCATGAGTTTTTCTGTGTGGGTATATCCATCCAGTACCCGATACCTCTGCACCTCATGGTTGGGGAGGACATGATCCATTAATGATCGGTAATGCCCATTTTATTGCATATTAAGCAATACGATCTTGTATTCAGGGTTTCTGAGTATGGAGTAAAACATTCAAGTATTTCAGAATTAAATGATGAATCTGAAGTGGTGAATACTGAATTTTGCTCCATAAAATGTACAGGCAGTCCAGTCTGGAAAACCAATGTTTACTGGAGATGCTGTTCACGTTGTAAAAGACTTCTCTTCAAATCTGCTGTGCGATGTTAGTGAAACATAACTGTTTGAATAGTACTAAGTAAAGGAAGCCAGTTTTTCTGACGTTTTAGCAGTCTGCCATTTATTTCACACCAAGAAAATGTGAAGGAACAAGAGTACATAATGTTGGGCAACATCTGCCATCCCACTACAGATCATTATAGCTGCCTCTGCCCCATGCCAACCATATTACTAAGCATATGAAATCTCTAAAGAAGATTATCTTGATTTTCTCTAGCTTTAATAGGCATTATAAGGATATATTCAGCCTGATACAGAAAATGAATCCATTTCCTCTGCCATGTACTGCTGTCTTGCTAGCGGCAAACATATTGCGAAGCCACAGCAGGTTTCTCCAGCCACCACCACCCCAACCCCGCGTACCTCTCCGCCGCACACCAGCAGGCTGTGTTTGTACAGGCCTCCAGAGAGAGCAGCGCCCGCGGGGCGAGGGTCCGGCCGCCCTGGCCTCCCGCTGCATTCCTCCGCCGTACCGGAGGCGGCCAGGCAGGGGGTCTGTGCCGGGGTCACGCTGGGCCACTCTCCCCGCTGCAACCAGGAACCTCCAGCAAAGCTAAACAAATCAGGCTGCCAATTTTTTTTTCTTTTTTTTTTTTTTTTCTTTTTTTTTTTTTTTGTTCCTAACTTTCCCATAAAAAGATTCAGGTAAATGTAGCATGACGAGCCAATTTAAGCCAATTTCAAAGTTATTTGAGTAATTGGTTATTAAGATAACACTCTCAAATTTCAATTCAGCAATTATCCTCTTAAAGATACAGAAAGTAAGTATAGGAGGAAAAGTGTATGCATTAAAGATACAGAAGCCCTTACCAAAAAAAAAAAAAAAAAGTGTAGGCATTTGAAAAAAACACTTAGCTTCTAATCTCATTGAACTGAGACTTATCTTCTAACATGTGCAACCCGTCTACGCTAAAAGAAAGTGTTTCTAAATTTTGGAAACAGAGTTGACTATTATTAGTGCTCATAAAGATTAAGAGACTAAGTGAAGACCCTCCTTTTAATATATGTAAGCTCCTTACCCATAACTTAAGAACCACAAGGGGACAGAACATTGTCTTCCCACAAGGCTGCACTACAGACTGATGCAGAGTGTGATGATGGAAATAATGGCTTTGGCAGAAGTACTTGGTTTGGAGCCAATTTCTCCATCGTAATGAATGGTGGAATTACCACGGAAAAGCTTTACAGTGAAAAAGACAAAAAAAAAAAAAAAAAAAAAAAAAGAGGAAAAAAAAATGAGGAAAAAAAAGTAGAAGAGAAAGAAAAAATATGCTGCTTTTTCCTAGTTAATCAACCCCATAGGATGGATGTCCATGACCAATTATTATTCCCAGATACTAGTGGTTAATCACCAAGCACACTGTTAAAAGGGTTTGTGTTAGCTACTTGGCTGCTGAAAGCAATAGTGTAGAATCTACAAATGTTCACCAGAAGATTAAGGTTATGCAAATGCTGGAAAGTTTCCTGCACTAGCAAAGTTGCTTTCAAGAAGGTGAAGTGGCTCTTTTTACTCTCAGAATGGCACTACATGGGCTTTAGGGAAATGCTGTTGACGACAGGGTGCTGCACTTCTTCACGCCAACACTGGCTCCTGTTCTCTTTATGATGTCCTCAGCTGCTGCTCAAGGCAAATATTCTCTTGGAGGCACTGTGATATCAACCGAGTACATAAACTTTGCGTATCCTTTGGCTGCAGCCAACAGCCTTTGGCTATCTCACCTTGCAGTGCAATTTTTACTGTAAACTAAAGGAAACCATGAAGCAAAACCAGGCTCTACTGCTTTTTCTGCCTTCCTGCTTGTGACATGAGGAACAGAAGTCATCAGAGAGAAAGTGAAGCTAGTGAATCCTGTCGAAGCAAGGGTTTGGGTTTTATTCAGGCTCATGCACTTGGGCATGGACCAGGAAAATGAAAAGCACCAAAGCAGAAAGTACAGGAAAGAAACCGAAGCTGGGTCAGATTTGTGCTTGATGAAAGTCAACTTGCTTCCATTGGAAACAGCAGTGGAGCTCAGCCAGTTCTCTGCAGCTGAGAATCTGTCCCTTTTGTGTTCAGATCAGTTGTAATAATTAAAGATACATTAAGGCAGCAAAGAGTGCAGTGTAATCAGGACTGGGAAAAATACTTCAGGGTTATTTTTGCTTTAGTCTCTATGTTTAATTTTTGTGACTGAGATTGTTCAAATGATATGTCCCCATGGGATACAGTTAAAATATAGATTCTAATTTGAATATAGATAAACACTGGATTATATATCACAAAATATGCTGGTGTAGCATATGCAGTACATGCTACATGTTAACACCAAGTATTACGTAACTGCAGCATCAAGCCAACTTACTTTTATCGTGCTAATGTATTTTCTACCTCCAAACATTAATATTTTTATATCTATATATATGTACTGCTACAATGCCATATTCTCAGGTTTTACAGTTTCTCTGCATTTTTCTGGCACAGGTTACAATGGAGGAAAAATGCCAACTGGAACATGTCGAAAAACAAGATCATAAGGTTTCACTCAAGTTGCTTAAATTATTATGTAGGAGGTATATTATCGACCTTTTAATAAAAACCTTTACAGTCTCCATGGAAACATTTTTACATTGACATATAAAAACATAAATGGAAAAAAAAAATGTTGTAAAAAAATGAATCTGGTCTTCTGTCCATAAATTAGAGGCTGCTTTTACTCTGCAGTGCCTTATCTTCCTTCAGTTATGCAAATGATGCGCGATGATGATTCATTAGTTGAGCATCTTACTGTGTAACCTGTGTAGTAAGCTGAGACACTCAAGTTATTTAGTCCTAAAATAGCACCATTTCTGTAATGCAGCTTCGTACCCACTTTTAAACCCGGGCAGAACACCAGTGCATCTGGATTGGGTTAAACACGTAATAGATTGAACAACGCTTGGAAGCACCAACTCATTAACATGGAAGCTTACAAGAAAGGACCTTCCTGGTTTTCTTTTACTTAAATAAGTGACTCTTGTCCTGACTGGACTGAGTTACCAGGAGCTTGCAGCCTTTGCAGCAGAGGAAAATCTTGCAATAGTCTCAGCCCCAGGTGCTGGACCCTGAGCAGGTTTGGGAAGGGGCAAGGAGCCTCCCAGCACATCACAGGAGATAGGCATCAGCTGCCCTTGATTTGAATTCCAGAGCTTTCAGCTATGCTCTGCTGACACCAGCTCAGCCTGCGTGACATTTACCAGCCATATACCGTTTATGTCACTCTCAGCTCCAGAGGCCAGATGACAAGATGCAAAGACATTAGAATTCAGATTGTAATAAAAAGAAAGAAGTTTGCGGTGTTAAAAGAGGA